GGGGGGGGGGGGGGTTAGGGGGGGGGGCTCGCCCCGGCCCCCCCCCCCCTGCCAGTCTCCGTCGTCATCCTGCGCCAGCTTGGCATACGTAGACTGGGCCTGCGCCCACGGCGGGAACGGCCCGCCAACTTCCAGCTGCGAGCAGGGCGTTGCCAACGCGGTTTCGAACGCTTTTGTGATGGGACGGCACTTGGTGCAGGGTTTGAGTCCCGCGCGCGACGCACGAGGCACCCGCGCGGCCGTCGGCAGCGGCGCAGCGTGCGGGCCCTGGGCGCCGCAGGCGTGACCCTAGCCTGCCCCTCGTGCTCGTAAGAGTGCGCTCGCACGCACTCGTGTGTGCGCGCGAGAGCATGGGAGGGGCGACAGGTCACAAGCTTATGGGGCTGGGGCGGCCGCTCACCTCCTCCAAGGTGTGGCCCTGCCCGCGGCCCTCCTCCGTGAGCGTTTCGAGGCGCACCACTATCGGGAAGGAGTCCCCCTGGATTGTAGACAGGAGATTGGGGGAGGCGCGGGACTCGTGGTTGTTGATGTGGGTTCCAGCGAATGGGTAAAGCAGAAGCTATGTTTGCGCACGGCTCAAAGGGGTGTGGCCACGCGTGCGCAGGCGCGCGCCCAGTGCAGTCGTACATTCCCTGGGCTGGTGCCAAGCCCCCATTGCCCTGCCTGCGCACCCATACTGCAACACGTGCGTGCACACACTCTTGCGCACTGCACAACACGCACAAGCACGCGCACAAGTACAGGCGAATGAGTACGCGAGCACTGCATCTCAGCAATACCCCCATCCGGCACCCTCACCGACGACAGGACCATGTGGCCCATGGGGGCGTGTATGCTGCGAATAACATGCGCCTCCGCCGCCGCCTCGTCGCCTTCCGGAGGGAACTTCAGGCCCATCTAGGGGATCGAACAACAGGTTGAGAGGCAAACATCCCAGAATCCAGGATGCACTTTGGTTGGCGCTGGACAATGGGAAACTCTGGGAGGCACGAGGGCACAGTTGGCAAGGAGAGCCGAGCCAAAACTGCCGTGCGTTGCGCCAGGTGCCTACGGCTGCTTGTTCTGGGTGCTACGGCACTGAAGATGCGTCAGTGGGCCGCCTCAAAACCATCTGGTTGCCAACCAGGCGGCTCACCCCCTTTGGGTAGTAAACAGGCGTCCGCGGCGGCGCCCCAACCACTGCGCTGCTCAGGCGGCAGGCGTTCTGCGGCTCCTCCGTCGCCAGCAAAAAAGTGGAGACCCTGCCCATGCACATGCGCACCCAAGCGCAGGGTCCGCGGGCCGTCGTCGGGCGGCGCGCGGGGGCGTTGCGGGCGCAAGAAGCAGGCCGGCGAGCCCGGGGGTTTGCAGCGCAACAAGGGCCGCACAGGCGCGATGCGAGTGCAAGGCACCGCGCAGCCGGGCAGCACACCTGCAAGGCGCAGTTGCGTCGAAGTCGAAGCGCAGAAGGAAGTCGTGCGGGCGCCCAGGGACAGGGGAAAGCTTGAGGGATGGCTTTTTGAGGTTGACCTGGTTTTTAACCGTCGCAGTCTGGCGGCACTCAGCTGTGGGCACGGGCGGCGGCAGCCGCGCCGGCGGCTGCCCGAATCGCGCGCCCGGGAGCGGGGACTGCGCGAAGGAACTCGGCAGGGTCGGGACGCCGGGCGACCCTGCGCCCTGTGCGCAAGGGGGACGGTAGTGTGTAGAAGGGATGATTACCGTTTCAGGGGGCAGGGATTTGGTTGCGCCGCAGGCAGAGGCGTCAGCGGTCATGGCGCACAGTATATGCTGGGACCTGCCACAACATACACACTGTGATTCCAAGACCTCGTGGCTCCCTCCCCGCATGATGTGTTCACAGGCACACGGGAACTTCAAAAAGGCTGCCGTCACTCACATGCGGGTGGGAAGGCAGCTGCTGCGGCGGGGCGTATCCACCAAACAGCTGCCCGTTGGAGTGCTGGCCGAACGCGCCGCTGGCCGTCGCCTGGAGCTGCTGCTGCGGGGGTTGCCAGCGCGCGGCGGCAGGGGCGGCGCGGTGTGCCGCAGCCCCTCCCCCAAACGCCACAGGGCGTTCCGGCTGGATCGTCACCACGGGCACCCGCCCTGCAGGAGCAGCTGCCTGACAGCGCCGCACGGCCTGCTCAATGGCTCTTGGTGTGGCCATGGCTACCAGCACTGTTTAGCGTAGCGCCTGTCGCAAAACGCCGCACGCACGTGGAGCGCATGCGCGCATGCAGCGCAGGCTGTGCTGCTGTTGTGCTCACCTCTTGCTGCAGCTCCTGCTGCTGTCGCCTGCGCCTGAGACGACTGCTGGAACTACCCATATTCTGGCGATGCACGAGGTTTGATTTGGCCGGAGTGCGCCTTTGACGTTCTCACACTCGCTCTGCGTGATGATTCGATGGCTGTCTGCAAGTACTGTCGCCGTTGGATGCCGCGTTGACAAAATCTTTTCGAATTAGAGTTGTACGGGTTTCCACAGCCCGCGCGCAAGCTTTCAACGCCTCACCAGATTTGTCACGACGAAGGTTGGGTGACGAACGCCAGATGGCCGATTGACTCGCTGCACAGTTGTTTGTGTGTGTTGCTGAAAGTAGTACCGTATCAAAGCGACGCAGCTCCAGGTTGAGCGGTGTTGCGCTCTTGTTGTGGCAAGGCAACGTTGTACCAGCATCCGAGCTCCAACAGCAATATGGTACGCAGCACTTGCTGCGATGCGAAGCCCGCATGCCACGTAAATTTGAACACCATGTTTCTGTTGGGTTATGGGGCCGTGAGTTGCATCCATGTATCACGCGCATCAACCTAGCTCTGTACACTCATCAATCCTGTTTGCGACCCCCAAAACCGACATTTGCTTATGCTCTTGCTGTCACAGGGAAAAGAAACGACTGCACGGGCGGCGCCTGCACAAGTACAACAGGGGATTGTCATGACGATCAGCTGGCATGCGCCGACGGTCTCTTGGCGCACCATGCTGCTAGCTGCCGCTGTGTGCAAAAATCACGTGGCGCAGGGGCCGTGCTGCTAGCTGCAGAACTCTGGCGACCTCCCGTGCGGCCGGCCACACCTGAGGGCGGCAGTTGGATCTGCAGCAGCTGCTGCAGAGATTCACACGCAAGGCGCCACCACCTGGGCGCCACAACCATATGTGAGATCATACAATTCCTATGGTAAAAAAATATAAATCAACATCATGTGGATCGAAACGATGCAATCCAGCCATCAAACATTGCAGTATGCCACGGGTCTGAGAGCTCCAAATCATTGTGTGCGCAAAGGAGCAGTAACAAGATGTTATGTTGTGTTATATATATGTTTGTTCGAGGCTGTCCTGCCATGCCACGCCCAGGCCTTGCGCAAGGGCCACGCATGTGCAAGGGTTTCCCCTACCGGTCCTTAAAGCAGGGATGTGGCAGGGACGCCCAAGGACGTGTATAAAGGCCCGACTAGGGAAAACCCTTTACCTTGCAGTGTGGGCTAGCCAGGCTGAGCGCACACCAGCACGTGTGCTTGCGCCTGAGCATGGCAACCGCGGCGCAAGGGTGGGCTACAGGCTCGCTGCGCACACTTCAACCTAGGGGCATACTGCACGCCATACTGGCCTGGCCCACCCCTGCGCCACGGTTGCCATGTGCAAGGCTCGTTCAGGCGCAAGCGCACGTGCTGGTGTGCGCATGGTCAATCATTCAGGCAGGCGCGAACGATTGACGCGGACCCATGCACGCCACGCGCTGTCGCACTGTGCACGGCGGCGAACGAAAGAGATGCATACGGTAGGAGCATTGCAACACTCCACTGAAGCATCATATGCAGGCTGTTTCCCATGAGCAAATTTCCTTCGGCAATCCTCGGGAACCTTGGGCCCCGAGGGAAGTTTGCTTTTCCCAAACACCGGTCCTCGGGGATTTCCAGGGACCTCTAGGAGGACCTTGGGATTCCTTGGGACCTCGAGAGACGTTTGAGTTTGTTGTATATGCATACGCGTGACCTTTCATACCCGCAGGCAGCACAGCTATCCGGTAACGTCTTTTATTTGCCAGCAGCGATGAGGCA